TAGAGAAAGAAAACGATTCATTGTACCGTTCTCGACTCTTAATCCTTTTTCTTCCTGCGTCCTCTTCCTTTTTTTTGGGGGGGGGGAGGGCGACCGCCCCCATCGCCCCCCCCCCTAGCTACGAGCCTGATAAAGGGCAAAATAAGAGTTGTGAAGCGGTCCCTTTACTATAATTTAAAATTTGACTGTTGAGTATATAGGCCTAGCTTCTATTTAAAAGACATCCTTTTTAGGGCAGGGGCTGTTTTTCACGTTTAACCGAATCCGCGGCTCGAGATTTTATGCGGCCGGCCCTCTCTATTCAATAACATTTCCCAAGCCTTCTGGAATGACCCCAAATCTCCCGATTACAGTTTTTCCCTTATTCGTTGTTACTGTCACTTAGCGCCATTTCCTTGTCTTTTCCCCTTTCTCACCCGACTTTTCTCTCCCCCCCCCCCCCCCCCCACTCAGTGTAATCTAGGGTACGCGCATGCATGTTCCCTCTCTTTGAACCTCTCTTTCTCCCGTGTGTTAAGTCAGTACGGGCCGGATTATTGTGTATAAAGGGCCGGTAAAGTACCCCTTTACCGGAGATTTGGGGAACACAAATTCGGTCCCTCCGACCCCGGAGTGGGATGGAGGGGGGGGGGGGGGGGGGGATGAGCGTTCTTCTTTTTCTTTTCTTCTCTTTTTTTCTCTCTCTCTGTTTCTTTTCTCCTCTTTCTTTTCTTTTCTCTTTTTTTTTCTCCTTTCTTTTCTCTTCTCCTTTTTTTCTCTTCTCCTTTCTTTTTTTCTCTTCTTTTCTTCCTCTTTTTTCCTTCCCTTTTTTGTTTGCGCCGCCAATAAGGGGGGGGGGGGCGCGGCCGTTTCGCCCCCCCCCTGGATTCGCCACTGGCTTTAGTGGGGTCGCCATAACAAAAACATGGATATTATCCATAAAAAATGTACATGACGCTGACTTGGCGAAGATAATATACCATACACTTTCCCAAAAGAAAATGTATTATGACGATGACTCAGTGAACAGCTGTTCTCGGTGATGATGATGATGATGAACATGACGGTGACTTAATTGCATGGGAAAGACGATAATGCAAAGTTTTGGGAAATTTGAAAATTGGACGAATAGTAATTCTTTCAAATTTTTGATATATTTGGATTCCCCTGAATATAATAAGCACTAGAAAATTTAGCCCCTAAAACACCATAATTGAATAATCAAAATTTATCGGTGCTTCCGGTAAATTTCAAATATTTCAAATAGCGCCCAAGGCCATTCCATGGTAGCTGCGACCATAAAAATCTCAGAATATATGCAGTTCTGGGCCCTATTTCACAAAACTTGTCATCAGTGGCAAGTCAAAATTTGTGTTATAAGCTAGTGAAATCCTTGCTTCTGATTGGTTATCAGCAGATTTTTCACTGACTTTTGTCATTTGTCATTGAAAAAAGGCTTTGTGAAACGTGTCCCTGATCCCGCCGGGTTCGGATATATAATTTCTAAACGGGAATAGCAAATCAGTTGATTGTAGTCAAGAAACATTGTTTTAAAGCTAAATTAATATCAGTCTTGAGAGGGAGCTATACAACAAAAAGAGTGTATTATTTACAATTTCCTCACTTTAGACTCGATTTCAACCGCGACAACGATCATTGAATATTGTAAAATTGCATATGCTTCCAATATGTTCATTTAAACCAAATTCACGACCCCATGCATACCAAAACTTTGTATTACCTTTAAGGGGGAGGTTAAAACCAATAGAAAATGTACAGGGCAGTCACTTGGGAAATAATTATTGTGGTTTAATGGGTGAAGAGTGCCACGTTGACATTGTCCTTAGAAAATGTTGGTGAAGGAGTCGGTTTGGGGGTTGGTGATGCAATTGCCAACTTAAAAGAAGCCTTAGCTGAATAAGATCCACTATTTCTGTGTTAAATATACAAAGTTCATAGGAATGGCTTACAGGTGATTGACAAATATTTTGTTTTACCCCTTAGTTCTGTATTTACCCCACCCCCCCCCCCATCCTCCCTAAACCATGCATGCCCGATTTGGTAGCGATCGAACCAGAACAAAATAATACCGAGTTCCTATAGGAAATATATATCTTCAGATGGTCATATCTCAGCCAATACTGAACATGTTCAATTGTTTTCAACATTTGGGCATGATTTTTTATGCTGTTTCGGAAAATGAAGGAAAAAAAATCTAAAAAAAGATTTTTTGATGACGTCACACTTCACCATTCTATACTGATGCCTAACAGAAACACAACACAACAGACAATTTATACGTTTGCCTAGTATAGTGGTTGAAATTGGAGCATTTGGAATGGGCTACCTTCATCCGCATATTTGGATACTTATATAGCCCCCCCCCTCCCCCATAAGAACTAGATTGCCTCCATTTATTAAAGATACAAGCCTGATCAATTCAGGATCGGTAGGGGCCAGACTAGGGAAATAACTCCACACAAATTTGTTAATGACACAATATGATTCAATTCAATATGAATTTGTATCAATAAATGTTATCTTGTGTTTATATTATATCAAATAAAACCATGGGTGTCGATCCCGGGGGGGGGGGGATGGGGGGGGATATATCCCCCCAATATTTCAGGTGGGGGTGGCCTGTACAATCATCCCCCCCCCCAATAATTCATTATCACAAAAAAAAAGAAGAGAAAAATTTATGATAAGAGCCCTATGAGAGTAGTTAATGGTTAATACTCGCAAGATGACCATCAATATACATATTTTGCTATCTCATTTTCATAATACATACATATATAAATAGAAAACGAAGTAAATGAGACAACCGTATATGAGACAAGAATTAATTGAATTCTCGCTCATACGGTTTCATCAGGAATTGATGGATTTATTCAATTCATTCAATCAACAGCATCATAGAAATGCAGTGCGCCAAATGCAAAGCCGTAGCGTTAAAAAGCAACGAGCTAAATGTTAAGCGCCAAGCGCAAATGTGCCAAAAAGAAGTAGAGAGTGGGAGAGAGAGAGATAATGAAAGACAGAGAGGCTACAGGCGCGTAGCCAGGGGGCGGGGGCGGTGGATGAAGAGTCGGGAACGGTACAACGAATCGTCTTGTTTCTCTAATAATTAAATGAAACGTCAAAGCTACCGCGCTTCGCGCGGGAGGGGGTAAACTGAATTCAGACAAGGATTAAGAGTCGAGAATGGTACAACCAATCGACTTGTTTCTTTAATAATTTAATGAAAGGTCAGAGTTTCCGCGCTACGCGCGGAGGAAGGAGAACTGGGTTCAAACAAGGATTAATAGTCGAGAACGGTACAACGAATCGTCTTCTTTCTTTAATAATTTAATGAAACGTCAAAGATTTCGCGCGGGAGGGGGGGGGGAGAAAAGTGAATTAAGACTTTGATTAAGAGTCGAGAATGGTACAACAAATCGTCTTCTTTCTTTAATAATTTAATGAAACGTCAGAGCTTCCGCGCTACGCGCGGAGGAAGGTGAACTTGATTCAAACAAGGATTAACAGTCGAAAATGGTACAACGAATCGTCTTCTTTCTTTAATAATTTAATGAAACGTCAGAGCTTCCGCGCTACGCGCGGATAAAGGGGAACTTGATTCAAACAAGGATTAAGAATCGAGAATGGTACAACGAATCGTCTTCTTTCTTCAATAATTTAATGAAACGTCAAAGCTTCCGCGCTTCGCGCGGGAGGGATGTGGGAGAACTGAATTCAGACAGGGATTGAGAGTCGAGAATGGTACAACGAATCGTCTTCTTTCTTTAAAGGGGAAGTCCACCCTGAAATTAAGTTAGTTTTAATAGGAGTAGAAAAATGAGAGAAACAAGTCAGTGAAAGTTTGAGCAAATTCCGATTAAAAATAAGGAAGTTAGGATTTTTGAAGTTGTGATCAATCAAACACAAATTGGCAACTCTATGACGTATCATGCGAGCTCAACTTCCATTTGCTCAGTACTAAAAAAATCTAAAATTTTCATTTTCCCTCAAGAAAAATTTTAACCATACATGCACCCTAAATATAATAATTGCAAATATGTTTCTATACTCCCCCTGCAAGGAACAAATATATATTCCGTCATCAATAACGAAGAAAACATGATTTTATGGAATATTATGCACAAAGCAAATGAAGGAGAGCTCGTATAATAAGTCACAGAGTTGCCAATTTGTATTTGATTGATCACAACTTCAATAATTCTTATTATTCTTATTATTCTGCCTCTATCGAAACAAACTTATTTTGGGGGTGGACTTTCCCTGTAATAATTTAATGAAACGTCAGAGCTTCCGCGCTACGCGCGGAGGAAGGGGAACTTGATTCAAACAAGGATTTAAAGTCGAGAACGGTACGACGAATCGTCTTCTTTTCCCTTAATAATTTAATGAAACGTCAGAGCTCACTACCGCCCCCCTAAAATAAAATCCTGGTTACGCGCTTGAGAGGATAATAACCCATAATAAGCCCATGTGGGCCCCACATGGGTCCCAAATTTTCTGAAATGTTATCTTTATTGAAGGTGACTTGAAAAAGTTAATAACTTGGAAGGGAGGGGTACAACCTGCCACACGCTTCTACCTCTTGGTTGCTTTGATCCATTGCCGAAAATATTTTGGCACCTATCATCCCCCCCCCCCCCCAACCACGGATACAAATCGACACCCCTGAATAAAACTTTAATTCCATTCTGTAGACTTTCACCTGTAATCACTACCGTCTGAAATACGACTAAACGTAAACATCCGGATTGCAACCACAGAACTATATACGTATTTTACAGTTCTGTGATTGCAACATAACAGCACTCCTCGGCTTGCAAACTATTTCATCACGCTCTTAGTCTTAGTAGATCTATTTACATTTCTAGATTGTTCCTCTTGTTCTACACTTATTATAGCTGGGCTGGAAGCTTTTGGGAGTCACCCTCATGATTATCAAGTAAAAAAGGTGAGATTTTAATATTAATTTATGGCTGCCTCCGTCAAATTCCTAACTGAGCTGAGGCTGAGTGTTGTCTGCTTGATTTCCCTTCCACTAGCCTACTGCGAGCTGATTATTTTCGCCCCTGGATGTGGGGGTGCTTGTTCCTGTGAACTCCGGTCGGGCCGAGGCCGCTTTCTCCGCGCCTAGCTTCTTAGTCATGCATTTGCCTAGGTTTTTCATGTGGTATAGAACCTTCTCGATTCGTGAAGATGAATGCACGAATTGGACTGAGTTTGACATTGCACCATCTGAGCATGTTCTCTGTAATGTTGCATAGATATTGGTATAGCTTCAGTCTCTGAACAATTAAGTATTAAAAGAGTCTATATTGAAAATTGTTCCACTTCCACTGAGCTGAGCTGAGACTATACATTGCCTCCAACTCCAAGCTCCAGCTCCACTGACTGCCTCGACTAGTATAGCTCTACTCTAGCTCTATTGCTATTCAGAGACTGAAGTACATTGTACGGGTAAGTGAGGGGAGGTTGCCCAGCGCTGTTGGTGTTTTATTGCTGATCTCTTTGCGTGCAGTAGCTTCATTAAAACTGAAAATTAGCTGAAAGTAGACTAGACCTAAGTCCTTATAATTATTTTGATGTGTTTTACAATGATTTTGAAAGCTATATTTTTTTGAAAGTATATCACTATATGAAAATGAGATCTATTTTCTTTCCAATCATAAATTTTGTAAATCAAACTGTTAAGACTTATGTCTAGGTAAGAAAAACCAGGGGAAAACTTTTCGCTGCATTCTGGTGAAAATCACTAATCAGCTAATGTAGAAGCTAGAAGAAGAAGATGCACAAGTACATCAGATCCTGTTTAAGAATAGATGCAAGAAGACTGAAATGAGTTGATTTTGCTTATCACTATATGTTTTTTTCAGTCTATTTATGTAGAGACTAGAGGGTCTGATTATTTATTCGAAAGGGGAACCTCAAGAAGATCATTGCTCTGAAATCTCAATTTTTAAAAAATTTTCAAACTTAAAAATAGCATCTTATACATGTTTGTACATCTTTTGCATGTAGGTATGACCAATTCAGTCTTCAATACTACAATGTTTTGTTTTTTTTTCATATCAAAGAGCACTCATCACTCCGAAATAGAAATATGTTGTAACATGACAATGTGACAAGTACTACAATGAACTTGGTTCAGCACCCTTAAAAAGTTGACTTACAGTGTCCAGTGTGGAGTTTGTTTATTCGTGATCTGGATGATCATGATATCTAATTAACTCTAGTTAACCCATTGTCTCTGTGTACCATCTACATAGCTCATGTACTAAGCATTATAGGAAATGAGAAAATTAAGTATTCAACTTGTTAACACTCTATCTGCAGCCTGTACATCAAACAAGGGACATTATATCGCAAAAGTAAAGCTACCTGTTACCATTAAATGGTCTGTGTGATCTCAATAGAGCAAGAGATTTTTTGTAGACCACTGAACATTTGCTTGAAAAGATGAACCTCGGAAGGCACAAAGGAGTGAAGATTAAAGGTGGAAGAACATCTGCAAAGTTGAGTATATGAATATTTCATACCAGCTTGGTGTACAATAGGGAAAATGGGATAAACCATTCACCCAGTGCGAAAATATTTTTTTGATAACACTAACAAATGTCATCGTGAAAATATGCATGTATGTATTAAAAAAGCTTTTTACCCCCTTTACTTAAACAGAGTATTCCAAGAATAGAGTTTGAACAAATTATTTGGATTTGCCAAGTTCTATGTATCGTACTTAATTTTTTCAGTGAATTAGTAAAGATTGGAATTTATCAAAATCCTTTTTTTTCCCAGAAATATTTTAGGCTAGAAACTTTTATATATACATGATGTATGTATTGTGTATACTTTCTCTTAATCCTAAGTACTTACAAAGATACTTACATACATATGTAAGTATCTTTGCACTCTGTTTATCAATGTTTCATTTTTAATTCTACAGATTATTGATGATTGGGAACTAGTGGAAGTGGTTTGTGAGCCACCAAGTAAAATACATGTAAGTCAAAGAAATATTCTTTAAATCGATTGATGTCTTGAAAGTCATTTAGTACAGAATAATTTGTGTCATGCCTTATGTCCCTTTGTATCAATGAGATATTAATCCTCCATTCTCAGACAGGTCTTACAGCAGGTCCACTTTGTTGTCGCTGTGAATTTATCCATTGTATTTTGTTTCTATTCTGAAAATCAAGGAAAAACACAAAAAAGGTTCCAGAAACTCCAGAAACAGGAGAGGAGGGTATGTAGGAGGAGTGACACCACAGCCTAACCCAGATCAATATCTCCTAAAAAGTGAGGTAAGTGTGTGGGAGTATTAGTTATTTTATCTATTTTATTTTTAAAGTTTATTGATTAGATGGAATGGCAAAAAGGCACCTGCAACAAAATGTGATTGTTTTCAGTCAAGCTGATGAGTAATTTTAAGTAATCATTATCATTTTGTTTACATCTATGACTTATATCATTTACAATTCCATTTTTACTGTAGGCCATACCTATAAAGGTTGTGATCTTCGCAATTCCTTCTTATTTTGAAAATTTGTGTTGCATTTTATACTCCATGAATTCCCTTGGATAAAAATGTATCTTTATTTGAATTTTTTCATTATCATATATATATTTTTTTAAATATTTAACAAAATTTCAATTTCATTGAACCTTTTCATTTGAATAGGATTGGCCCGAATTGCCAAAATTAGACAATCGTGAGCTAGTAACCACATCAAGGGAGAAATCTGAAGCAGAAGAAGAGCCAACAATTATGTCTATGGATGGAGAGGTATGTATTAGTATTCTGAGATATTGTGGACCTCCTGATCTGACGTAACACAGTATAACAAATTGCACACTGATGTGAGTTGTGAGAAATGATAGCAGAGCCAAGGAAAACAGGATTTGACATTTATCATTGTATTTAATTTATCCTTCTCTAGAGCCTGTTTCAAAAACGTAATTCTGTATAGTCCTGAAACCCGGGCAATAAAGAAAGATCTGTAGACATGGTCGGCTTTATGGCACCTATACTAGGTTAGGCTCCTAATGAGATCAGAAAATTTCTCTGGGCTAGGACGCAAGACCAAGGCCCAAACTGTTGCTCAACACAGAACCCTGACTTGCTATTCATGATTTTTATAGAGCTTAAGTTGTGTCAGATGTCGTCTGCTGGAGGCTGCAATGCCTACACAAGGACCACTGCCCCCACAACTTCATTGTTATAATTGCACATAATATTGATCTTGAGATACAAGACATATAATATGATCTTCATCTGGAAAGATTGAACGACATCAAAGAGTGAACACCATGCTGATAATGATTATCATTTTTATTCTCTCTTCATATTGTTTTCTGTAGAACATTGAGGACAGCTGGGGAGGACCGGTGGTTCCTGTGGAGGGGCCTACCACGTTGACGGAACGAGAAAACAATATGACTAAGGCTCCTAATTTTGTAAGCTTCCCGTCATAATACCGCTCATACAAAGTTTTTAATTGGTACATGAATGTTATTTAGAAGTCTTCTGTCAATCCAGTATTCAGTCCAATACAAAAAGATTATTGAGTATACTACTCTAATTTCTGATGTATTCAAATTAAATTTCATATACCGGTAATAGACCAGTTCACGGTTAGCACATGGCTGCAATGACCTTGAATATCCACAGATCTTCAAAACACGAAGAGGTCCCACTTTGTACATTTTGAAATAATCATTCCTACAGCGATGGAGGTGATACATAAATAGCCTTTGTTTCCCCTTTTCAAAGAATACTTCCACCTGTGTATCATGGAGTGCACTGCTTTTGCATGAATGAATAATGAGTACATAACTTTCATGAGCAAGTATCCAGTATTTCGTCTCTGTGTATTTCATAATTTGTTCTGCAATGACCTTTATCTACTCATGCTCAGACTGCAACCGTGCACTGGCTTATTGAATCGAATTGAGCTGAAGGTTAGATTACCTTTTCATAGCAGCCATTAGCTGAATTGAGATAAAACATGATAAACAAATTACATGGATGAAGAATGTGTATTATTAATGCAAAGATTTAACTAAGCACATTTAAGAGTTTACATGAAAAAATAATGTCCACATTGAATACAAACGGAAGTAATTTGTCCAAAATTGAAAAACTGATTTGATTTGATTTGAATTTATTTCCATATTTCACAAATACATTTGAACAAGTAATTATACAAACAAACAATACATTAAAAAATCGAAATACAATTAAATGAATGAATTGAAGACTAAAGTACAATAAAATATTACAAAGTACAATGAAATATTACAAAGTACAATAAAATATTACAAAGTACAATAAAATATTACATAATCAACAATTTGTTTGTAATTAACGTAACGTGAAATGGCTTTCACAGCAAAACAAAAAGTTAAACATTTGAGTCGACCCGATAAGTTACATGAAGAGATAAAAAAAACATAATAATGTAATAGTAATATGGTTGTTGTAAATAATAACAGAATTGACAGAATTCACCCCTGCACCTCTAAAATAAAGATAATGAAACAACTTTTCATATGACTAGGATTTACATCCATACTTTTGGCATTTTTTCATAATTAGAATGGTATCATGCACTGAAAAGGGTGTTGTGAGTATTTAAACAAGTGTTTGAATATATTGAGTATATAATAGAGAAATTATGGAAACATTAATTTGAAGAAAAAAAACATAAATTATTATGCTGCTAGCCTGTAGCAACCACAGAGACAATAAATCATAAATGCCATTAAAGATATAAAAAATTAACATGAATGATTGGGTAAGATTTAGATAAGCATTTTGTTTCTAGCTTTATCATAGGTTGAAGACATTCTTTCGGATTCTTTCCTGTGAATCCTGAATCTTTAAAAAAAAAAAAAAGAGTCAAAATTGAAAGACAGTGCTCCTGGTTTTAATAATAATTTTGTGCTTTCATTCCTGATATCCAGTTTTTCTTTGTGAACATGATTTTCTGTTCAAAGTTGTTCTTTAATGTCTTACTTAACCCTGCATAGCTTGTAAATGCTTCAGGTTTTCAAATCAAATTTGTAGTAGTATTTGTAACCTGAAATTACACCCATGCATCATAATATATAATTCTAAAATTTGTTTTAAAGCCATGAACAATTTACACTTCTCAAGAAAACACTGAATATGAAAAGTCATATTTTCTATTAAATCATTAAATGAACAGTTAAAGATTGCGAAACTAAACAGCTGTTCCTTTTTTCTATACTCTACATGTAGTTGTCACGGATAGAAATTATGTAGTTACATGTTCCTTTCTACAACATAATCAGTTTGCTTTATTGCCCTTGTTTGTGCAGGATTTGGCTGAATTTTTGGAAAGTCACCCAGATTTGCCAGAAATGGAACTTGCTGTTGTGATGGTAAGTGACTTTTGTATGATGATGGTCAACCTACTATCATAATAAATGCATGTATTCATCTGACTAACATAAGTATAACCCCTTCTCACTCTTCCTGTGACTCTTGTATGATGTGTTACTCAATCAAGGAATACACCGAAGATGCTATCAAATGCAAACAAGCTAACTACATAATGAAAAGGATTCAAGGGCAATCCAACATGTGTATTAACTTCATTAGTGAGAAAGCAGAAAACAAAAGAAAAATACATATTTTGAAATATAGATATGACAAAATAATAAAGAAGTTGTGAGTGTTGAAAATATGAGGTAACTAAATATATGCAAATCTTAAATTGGCAATTTGCTCAATGGATTGCGACGTATTCACGGTCAACTCCCCTGTATGTCAAATACTAAAAATATATTAATTTCTGTTCTTCTTCTAAGCGCCTTCTCCCTTTGAGGGCTACAATATAGATAACATATTATAGGTCTTTCAAAAAAGAAAGTGTATCCTGAGTAATACATATTGAAAAGATGACCGTAATTGTGTGTGTTTGAACAAATGGGAGAGTTGCATTACTGATTCAGCCAATTTGAAATTTTCCAAATGATTCCCATATGATTTAATACAATTTCCAAGAATTTATTATTTTCTTGTTGATTGTCCAATTTTGTTCAAACTTTCTCCACACTGCTTCTCAGATTATTCTGCCTTCTTTCAAAGCAATTTGCTGTAAGGTTAGATTTCCCTTTAAATTGTAACTGAATGCACTTGATGGTCCTAATTTTACTAAACCTTTGTGTTTCATCCTCTATCAGGCGATCAATTACTTGCATAAACAGAAGGTGTTATCCAATAAGGACCAGACCGGTCTCATGTACCACCCTGTAGGATTGAACACTTACCAGACTCCAGCATCAGAGGGTAGCTTCTTATATCCCCCCATCCCTCTCTACAGTATCCTGGCAAAGATCTTAGATCAATGGATGCTTCGAGGGTAAGCTCATCAATCATGATATTATTATCATATGTAGGTGTCTTGGTCTAGTGGATCACATGGTATGCAGTTTGAGTCCTGCTGCAGCACTAATGTCGTGTGGCACTAATCTACATTTGCCACACTCAACATAGATGAGGTAAATGAGTACCTGGCAGGAATTTATTCCATGAAATGTTAGAGCCCCATAATAGCAGCCATGCAAAGCTGTGGTAATATAGCCTGACAGACATGAGAGCTGTACACCCACTTATGTTTTTTTTTTATTATTTGTTAATTATTATATAAGAAGTGACTATTTCGGGATTTAGGTTGACTTGAAGGTTAAGGCAGAGTAGAGAATGGGATTGTCCTAAAATTGACATCAAAGAGAATATGATGGTTGGTTTAGTAACAAAGTAGAGTGCAAACACATCTATCAATCATATTGGTCACAGATAGACATCTGATTTATACACAAAGTAATGTTGAAAAAAATTGCATACACTAAATTGATGTTAGTAGGCTGGTTGTTACACTGACTGCATTTGATGGAAATAGTACTCAGTATATCACCAAGAGACCTCATTATATTACAAGCTTTTTGCACAATATTTCCTAATGAATTTGTTTTATTTTCTTTAATACAGAGCATGTTATGCCAAGGATCTGATAACATATGAACATCTAGATGAAGGGGATGGCATTGATAAAAGGTGTGGAAGTTTTCAAGTTTCTTTTTTTCTATTGTTGTTTTATTGCGCGAATCTGCTGTTGCTCATAATTATGATGGTGATTTGGTGATGATGATGATGTTGATGAAGACAATGATGGTAGACCGATGGATGGACAAATAGTATTTATCTTATTTACTTGTTAAGGCATTTAAAGTTATAAGAACAATTTGTATGCTTGTATAATGCTTTTATTTTAACACCAATAAAAACTGTAAATGAAGTGAGAGCTTGAAGATAAAGAAAGAAGTTATAGAATAAATTTCAATTTTCATTTTTAGCTGCCTTTAGACTAACTTAAAGTTGACTTGAAATGACATTCTAATATGATATGACAGGTTCGGAATCGCAACAAGTTTTGTGAAACACTTAGCGGACAAGTCCAGCGACAGCATCAACATGTCGTCACTCTTGTATTAAAGTAGCCACACGAAGAATCAAAAGTGTTTTGAATTGATGCAAAACTCATATCATTGCGAAGGGGAAGCCTTGTCGATCAAATACAACAACTCTTCTCTTCAAAATATGTTTGGGGCCCGCAGTAATAAACTCTCAAAAAAGTTAGTTTTGAGATCCAGATTTTCTGCCTTCAGCGGTCCTTTGTAGAGCGTCAATATTTGTGACGTCACATACGGGACACGGCTGGCTAGCTGCATACTGCTACACGGCACTGAGCTGTTCGTCCAGTGTGTGACGTCACAATTCAGAGCTCACTACGCTTGTGTGACTTACGTTCAGAGGCGTTCGGGGGTCTAAGGAGGGTCTTGAAAAAGTGCATTTTACGCTTTTCCATGATATCTATATGATTTCTCAGCAAATAGTTCGTGTTTTTCAAGAGAAAATCTTTCCATCCATATGTAATTTGTTCTAATCATGAGTTGTTAGTGAATTTTCTTTGTGTAGCTCCTTTAAAGATGGTTACATGAAATGACCCTCTGTTCTCTTTTTGGTGCAGAAAAATAGTGCTGGACAATGCGACATGTCACATGATAGGAATCGGAGGATCATGGGAAGGGTCGGAGGATGACGAGAAGAAACACAAGATTAGCCAGTTGTTTAGGGTAAGGAAATTGTTCTAGATTTTGGTTTCAATGGGCTTAAAAGTACTATGTCCCTTTTGCAGCCAACCTCAAATTCTGTATAACTTTGCAGGAATTATGAATATATCATGTATGTCCTGTCTGTGAAATTTGAACGTTAGCAGTGTCCTAATACTCAAATTATGCAAGGAAACCCGGGTTACTTACTAGACGACACTATTGAGTGACTGACTGGCTTTTTTCTTCTTTGGTAATAACATACATAAAATGAGCTGTAAAGGGTACATGAGCATTTGTCCACATCAATAACCCACTTCTTGTGATGGCCAAAATTAAACTGATTGAATTTTTGTGTAGCATAAAACGTATGACCATTCGGTACAATGGTCTGAAAATCAAGACGATTACTTATTGGCTCTATAGCTCCCAAGTCGATTTGACAACTAATAGTCGTTATTTTCCCACTTGAAGAGGTTTTCAAGCCCCACCTTTTTTAGGGAAGTTCTAAATTAGTATTATTTTTCAAATGCCGTTGGAATTTAACCTTTTCAATTTGTTGGCCTGCAAATGGGGCATAGTACCTTTAAGAGCTGGTGTTGTATAAGAAATTAAACAGTGCAATCTAATGTATGCTGTGTGTATTATTATTATTGATGTAGTTTCATTTCATTTATTTTCATATTTCTCATATACATTTCAAAATAAAGTACAAGCTTTTTTGTTTGTGAAATCACATTCATTGAAACATAATAAATAACATAAAGATAAGTGGTCAATAAAGAGTACTGATTTAACTGAGAGATATTGATGGGACCTACATGAAAGCAAACTTGTAAAGCTGTAGGCCCCAGTGAAATAATTTGTGGTAATGAATGGAGGACAGATATAAATAGTGACCAATCCAAATAAATATACAAATAAAAAGGGAAAGAAAAAAGAAAAATGTGGTGGTGCTCTTTATACTTAACCTCCCTTTCTTACAATGTAGACAAAAGTAACCTACTTAAATTATTGTACAATGGGTGCTCAGCTGGTAAACAAACATTACAAATGATAATAAAATGAATACATTTGTACTTACCGTACATAAATAGAAATAATGAAGCGAGCGAGCTCAACGTGTCAGCCGTCGCACTCTCGGATATAAAAAGTAAAGTTGATTTTATAAATTTTGTAGACGTATTTCCAAAAGCACGTCAGCCAAACCCAATACACTTGCAAGTAAAAGTTATACATTGACATCAAGATAAGATTATTGATAAAATTAGAAAGAGAAACATTGCATGCAGATAAATGTATCTAGAAGAGCATGATTAGCAAACTGTGATCAATGTGTAATAAATCTATAGCTTTAGATCAGAAATATCCAGGTTTTAATATAATTTTCAAAGGAATTCTTAGTTTGATGTTGGAATATTTTAGAGAAGCTAACATTTCAAGATTCAGTATGCTGTATTACCCCCTTGATCTCTTGCACATGTATGTGTACAATATTAACTTTGTACACATACCCGATACATGTAGCTGTGTCTGTGAGGTTCATGCAGTATGTGTTGTGGGGATTACCTTAGATTGGTCCAGGGAAGATTATACTAGAGGAAGGGATGATGCATGGGCATTTAACTGTGTAATTTCTAACTTGAAAAACCCACATTTGTAGCAGAGTATATTTGAACAATAAAATCCCTGAATCAATTCATCTGACAAATGTAAGTAAATTGAATCCTTCTTATATTGATATATACTATGTGTTCCTTTTACAGCTGTGAATGTGCTACATGTACATAGTAGCAGTGCACATGCTACCTAGTTCCCATAGTATGGGCCTATGAGTGCCCAAGTCAATTAAGATCAATCTATACAAGTATTAAATATCCCAGGACTTATTTTCTTATTTGTGTGTAGGACATTGGAAAGAGAGGTCTACTGGACTTGCTTGGTGTGAGGAGGACAGTGGGGACAGAAGATACCTTCCCACCAACCAGAGACATCCTGCAAACAAGTTTCAGGGAACTAAATAAGTGAGTACTTTCTGCTTCTCGTTGTACGGATTACTGGTAAGCAAATGCACAAATGTAATTTGGAGGGGGGGGGGGGGGGGGGGGGGGGGAAGGGAAGTATATTCAATTTCATTTTTTCTAGCCAGCCCTCTATGATTTTCTACGTCCACTGTTGTAGTTGTAAGTTGTAAATGAATATCCATTCAATTTATTTCAAACTCAAAATACAAATTACACAAACTTAGCAGGGGAGGGAGAGGGAGTGAAGCTATTAAACTGTCTAAATTTTAAGCCACGAAAAGATCATTATCATTTCTAATCCACTGGCTTTCAACTGATAATGAGACCTCTGTCGGATTCAGTCGATTTTTCCCCAAATATGTATACAAAAATATCCCCTTTTTTAATGAAGATTATTGACAGCATTTGTCAACTACAGCATGCCTACATGTAATAGATTCAATTAAAGGAAAGTCCACCCTGGTTTTAATATAAGCAGAAAAGTGAGAAAAACAAACATGAAAGTTTGAGCAAAAGCCGATTAAAAATAGGAAAGTTATGGACTTTTGAAGTTATCATCAGTGAAACACAAATTGGCAACACTGTGACGTATGTGAGCTCCTCTACAATTTGTTCTGTACAGAAAATTTCATAAAAACTTCCCATTTTCTTAGTTATTAATGAAAATTTGTAACTTTTTAATTTTTAATTGGTTTTAGCTCAAACTTTCATTGACTTGTTTCGCTCATTTTTCTACTTCTATTAAAACCAATTTCATATCAGGGTGGACTTCCCCTTTAACAATTCTTATAGTTATACAAGAATAATAGGTACAGTGTAAATGTATGAAGAAGGTATAACTTGTTATATTGGAATAAAATTGGAGATATAATGAAAGGAATAATAGCTGAAAATGTTACACATACAGTATTTGGGGTTTTAGTGTGATTTTGAATGTTTGGAAGCTCTTAGCAGTTTGAAGATAGAAGGATGGTGAATGTACATACAAGAAGGTGCTGTTTTTATGCATAACATATATCTATCCTGCTCCTGTTATTTGAGTCTTCCAATATTTCTTTATTGGATGAATGTATATAGATTGAACAACTGGTTTTAAAAAAGATGGAATTTAAATCTTGTAAGCTGATTATTTTGATGCATATGTTAACCTTGCTGAATGACGCCACCCTTGTTTTCATTTTTGTACCTCTTACCAGGGCAAGTAGTCAGCTTACAGTTGGAGCGAGGGCACTAGAGAAACATTGCCATCGAGATCAGTCCAATAACTGGTGGGGAAGACCAAAAGGAAGTAAGTACATATGGATTAAATCAAAGTGAAAATGCGTACCTAATTTTGGCTGGTTGATTTCATTATATAAAAGCCCCCTCTCAATAGAATTTTTTCGATCTCACCCGAGCGATATGTGGATGAGAAACAGTGGGGGGTCTGATCGTAAAACTCGTGGTGAGCTTTTGGACACCGTCTTAATCAGCCATCCACAAAAACCATAACAACCGCCACCTGTTCATCGCAATCGGCTGGCGCGCGCTGTGTACATGACATGTAAATTACGGGTATTGTATACATTTTTTCACGGCGATGATGTAATTTATCCGGGCAACATTCCGCGAGCGCCTTAATAGGCCGTTTATCAGAAAGTCTTTTGGACAACGTCCGGACGTCACCCTCCTATTACCCTAGCTCGTCTAGGGTGAGATTTACCTCGATATCGTCTGGACGTTACCCTGATTGACGCGTCTTAATTGGAAGTGGATAAATAGTCGTCACCGCGACTTTATTTTCCAATTAAGACGGGGTTTTACAGTAATGGTTTCATCCTATTTAGAATATCTTATGGCATACCTAAGGTAGCTTTAATAACAAAGTCGTGATTTAACAAAAAATGTGACTTGAACACAAAATTTATATTTGTTGAAAATCATAATTTTACCACACAGAGGTATGGCCACATTGTTAGGATATGGAGCTGGTAAATGCAAGTACTATCTTCTCGATGAGGCTTAATGTTATGTAAACTTTCATTCAGATATGTCAAAAAAGAACATTTAATTGACAAATGTCACTAACTATTTTGCAGTTGCATTCCAGATGCATCTTTTTGTGCCTCTATATCTCTCTAAGACATCTAAAGCATGCAATTACTATACAAGTTTATAAATGATAACCATTGGCTACAAATTTGCTCTTGGGCCCTGATTTAAAAGAACCAGGTAATGAGTTCATTGCAACATGATATTAATTAATAGGTACTATTATCTTTTAATAGGTATTACTATTTGTAATGTTTTATTAAATGTGAGAACTCAGTCTAAAATATTGTTGATGCAAGATGACTTGTAGACAGTTGGTGATAATGGTATTAGAATTCTTATGAAATCACTCTTTGATTTATGTTACTCATCCCACATTACAATGACAATTTGACTTAAAATTGACATTAAATTCTCCCCTTCTTCCAATATTTAAAAATTCTTTCAGGTATGTGTATGCTTAAATTCCAAGACAACTGTTGAACAGTATGACTACTTTCGAATCAGTCAAAATGCTTAATATTACATGTACATGTAGGTAGGCGTAAAAATACCTTATTACCCTACAAAACCCACTTTCTAGTCGTCTATTCTCATTTATTTTCCTCTTCACCCAGATGATCAATCCAAGAATGAAAATGCAGAGCGTGTGCTCAATAAGATCCTCAATGAGGTTGGATGGCTTAATATTCATCAGCTGCCGGTAAGTATATCATTTGAACTGTGAATTTTGATTTGATTAAAATGCAGCCTCAAACTTTGCTGTTGCAGTATGGAGAATATTGCTTCACCAAAGAATAATTGCTACTTAATAATAATAATAATAGAAAGTGCTTATAAAGTGCATATAATTCATAGAATTCTCTATTTTTTTAAAACAAAAATACATTAACAAACATTGTATCAGAAGTTCAGAACATAGTATTCATGGATATATAAAGCAATTCAACCAGAAAAAATAACATAATGAAATCAATATTTATGTACATGTAAAATTAGCCATTGTGGTGGGAAATGCACCTACCATGTGGAACAAGCCAGAGGAAACCACAAGCAGATCATCCTTAGTGCAAAACCATAAAACAAAGCTTTTACAAAAATGAATCTTTTGCGAATTGTAAACAAAATCCACTTTAAGCATTAAAAAACTTTGCAAATAGCATTGTTATGTCACTTCATTTTGTGGTATGAAAATTTCTTGTTTTTGATCCATTGTTGTTGTTTTTATTGCAAAATGTTGATGCTTGTGAGAGTTTTTGGCTGTACAATGTAATGTGATATCCCTTAAATGGATTCTAATGACGTGCTAAGGATAAAAATGTAACACATGTATTAGTGGTTTAACATACCAGTATTTTAGACTTATAACATATGAGTAATGAAATTGTTTGCCCACATTTGTCCACACAAAATGCTGTTAAGGATGATCAGTTAATTTTTCCTCATAGTCATAAAGAGCTCAACATACATAGAGTATTGAGGACTGTTCACTAATGACTAGGATGAAATTAGGTATGGCTGTAAAGGGTTTGGATCAGAGAAAAATGCTCATTAGCTAAAATGGGTGATCAACATCGATATCTACCTTTTCTACTTTGACTGATTTTATCACAACGATGACATGTGACGAACCCTTTACAGACAGATCTACTATAACAAGAAAGATGAAAATGGCAAATGACAAAGCCTAATAGTTATTGAATTGAATTGAATGGAACTTTATTTCATTCCAATCACAGTAAAAAAAACATTATACATAATTGCAAAACATAAGCAAAGAAAAATATGTTGAAATAAATATATATATATATATATATACGGTACATTGGGAAAAGAAAATGAAGACATGATTAAATCTACTTAAAGTATAGGATAAAAAAGGTGCATCCGTGAAAGCCAGAGGAGCTTGATGAATGGGCGCACTCTGAGCGCGTCACAATAAAATTAACAATAAAAAGCTCAGTCAGCTTACAAGATATCATTTAAGAAGAACTATAGATATAGAGGATGAAGAAAAGTGTGCAAATTTGGCATCCTTTGATGCATTTTGTCTCTATAATGATGAAAGATGTTATTAATTTCAAGAAATATGCTAAATGATCTGTTGACGAGTGCAGAATACATGTACATCTAAATTATTAGTAATAATAATAATACTACAGCATTTGTTATGCGCCATGACGCCATCGATCTAGTAAACTATTCCGAGGCGCAAAAATACCCCTCCCAAGTTTTGTAAACAAAATTAGTATGCTAAAAATTGAATTGTCCAGATTTATGGTTCTTAAGAATTGGACATATCAACGCTTACATCTAAAAGTATTCAACAAATCTACCTTTCATTCTTGAGTTATGAACAAAACAAAAAACCTTAAATTTATAATAATTACATTTTTAATTGTTCATGTTTTTCTTCACTTTAGCTATTTTATGCCTCCGTCCACCAACAGTGGTGGCAGAGGCAAAATGGTTTTAGCATGTCCATCTGTACGCCCCTTCATCCTGCTTTCTTGTTACCACTTTATTTTAAGAACTACTTGAGGTATGAACTATGAACTTCAAACTTTGTGATAATATGTATCAAATTGAATTATACATTCATATATTAAATTACTGGTTTTAGTCTCCATATTGCAATTTCTCAAAAACCACTAGATATTTAAGCTTCAAAACGAGTGATAGTATGTATCACCCAAAGAAGATGATCTGATTATATTTTGAAGTAATTCAAAGACCCCACAGTGGCACAGTGACCCCCCCCCCCCCCCCCACGCATACTTTCATATGGCTCTGAATAGTCTCATTGGACAACGCCCCCTATCGTCAGAGTCCAGCAGCCTAACATGTTAGCCTATGGAATTTTACCCCAAAATCGTTAAAAATTCATTTTTTGTTTAAACGAAAAGCACATCCACCCCAACGTACTTTGACACCAGCTCTTTCATTGGACCCCTCATGTCCCATTGACTTTTGAAAGTTTACCCACCGTAATTTGGTCAAAATAGTTCGCCAGCTCGCCGTTGCCTATATAACACATGTGCAACAAGTCAAACTTTGGATGCAATTTGCCACTCGATTGTAAGGTTATAAGTCAAGCACACAAAGGATAACAAGCATGAATTATCATAGATCAGTTCTGACTGGTTCATTATGTCCATTTCAGTCAACCCCCCACTGTAATTTTTCCATTTAATATATGTAAGCATTTTGCCGAGGTAAGCAAAAATATGAATATTCATGAACGCCATGGTCTATTTGATTATTTACAGAGGGGTGCAATTGTGCACCACATCAAACTCCCCTACTTTAAGTCAAGTATTTCATTGTATTATGTAGTTTGGTAGGTTTTTTTTACTAACTGTTTAATTATCAGATATCAATGATAGTTTAAAGATATGGAAATTTTGTTCTTGTATTTTATATTTAGCAAAGCAATCTCACATAAAAAATCACTATCAAGGGTCATCTGATCCGCCGATTGCCGTCTGCTATATACGTTCAAGTCACATTTATCTGTGGACTGTGATGTAGACAGCCATCTGTCATTATTAGTCTTTAATTGTTGACACACATACAATTACCACACACACATGAACACTTTCACTTCCCCTCCCCAACACACCATTTCCGCACACCCGGTTCACCCAATGGCATATACACCCTGCAACATAGTGGAACATTCTAGTTTGGTAGTGCCGTCGAACTAGCTACGTTTGTGCTGGCAATGGTTCAGCGAGCGAAAATGAGACAACCGGAGCAATATGTTCAGGTACCCCAAATGTGCCCCTTTTCCTTAGTAAGAACTACCCCTTCCCCTTCTAATAAGTGCCTTGTTTCCTTGTGATAAGTGCACCTCCCCCCCCCCCCCATTTCTTTCATGAGATCCCTTCACTTTCTCATAAATGTCCATTTTCACCTCTGATAAATGCCCCTATTAAAATATGATAAGTGCCCCTTTTCCTACAATAACTTCCCCTTTACCTTTGCAATAAGTATCCCTTTTCAATTCTCATAAGTGCCCTTTTTCATCTCTGGTAAGTGCCCCTTTTCATGTATGAGGAGTACCCCTTACCACCTCTGATAAGTGTACCCTTCACCTCTGATAATTGCCCCAATTCAAATCTGAGAGGTGCTCCTTTTATTCTTTGATGAGTGCCCCTGTTTGCCTCTGATAAGTGCCCCTTTTTGACACATGCCCTTTTTCCTTCTTATAAATGCCCCCCCCCCCCTTTTCACCCCCAATGATTGCAAAGTGCTATCAAAATCTGACAGGTGCCCCCTTTCCTAAAAAAAAAAAGGTGCACCCTTCCTTTATTATAAGCGCCCCTTTTCCATTCTCATAAGTGCCTTTATTCATCTCTGTTGATTGTCCTTGTACAGGTGGAAGAAGTGCCCCATTTTCACCTCTGATAATTGCCCATTGTACTTTTTCTTTTCTATTGACTGTCCTTTTCCCTTATGATAAGTGCCTCGTAAATTATTCTCACATACAGTCGTATGCGCACTACTCACCACGTTTTTTTTTAATTGTTTTTTTTTTCTTCAGTTTTGTAAATGGCTGCCCCAAAAATTTGATGATTTATCAAAATGGTGTTTGAGCTGTGTATAATGTGCCCACAGTCGCACTTGTCTTGTTTATGATCTTCATGAATATAGGTCCATGTACACAGCCCAAACACTATTTCATAAAATAGTCAATTTGTTCAAAATTTTCCAACCCTGGTCCCCCACTTATTGTTGTTATCATAACATTGCAGTACATGTATTATAAATAATATCACTTATTATTCATTTTGGTGTGATGATTACCACATAACAAGGCAAATCATTTCAATAATAGACCACAATTGATAATATACTAAATGGTACAGAACTCATTCTGGCACCTGTCTCCCAGATTTCTTCTTCACCCTCAGTCTTTCATATTCTGAAAGGGTAAATAACATTTAAAATGCGTTCCGTGTATCGGGTCAATGTCGTTTGATTTCCCCTTTTCTCTTTTTTTATTACAATTAAGAAGAAGGGAAATAGAAAGAAAAGGCGGAAATGAAATCATATCATCCTTTTAAACTCCAAACACCAACTGACCCTTACTGGAATAGCATTGTTAGTCAATCTCAGTCATTATTGAGACCTAGTTTCGCTCAATATTTATCGGTTTCCCGTGTCAAGAATTAACCCCCTCGCACGCAATCTGCTTGTAGACCGGTAATATCATATACATTTTTTCGCGTGCGTTTCTCATTAAGTCTGGGATTAACAGAGTGCCAGTAAGCACTATGATCCGTTCCTGTGCGAGGCTCTATTCTCATAATACCGTGGATGATCGCTTTAATATACTTCAGTCACACCGTCAAGCTGGTTGTACATCGTTTCCAAATTGACCGATCGGCTATAAGGAGTGACTTATTTTTGTTTGGTCCATTTTTCAGTCCGGTCGATTTGACTATTTAGGTAAAGACTTACACCGCGATATACTTCGGTTAGATGCTCACTTATGATGAGCCTTCTGACTTTAACATGCGTATGCTATTTAGAAGGGGTAGCTCTCCGTGCTTATTAATCTTAAATCATAATAGCTAAAGAAACAGGTGACCATTTTTCCACAAGTCCCCTATAGGTATGATTTTCATTATTGATCAAGTATTGATCATCTCGGGATGGTCGAAATCGTGAAGTTGTTTTACATCTTATCTTATCTTT